TGAATTATTGACATAAATACATAAAATCAGCTGATGAATTTAGTTCTGTAGCTGAACAGTTTTAGATCTCGACACTTAACAAACTCCTGCCTATCGTGACTCGGCACAAAAATTTAAAATATTGGTTCCGTACGTCATGCGGACTGCGCCCCTCGTGCGGATGGGCGGGAATGGAGGGTAAAAACCGTTGGGATTATTATTATTATTATTATTATTATTATAATAAAACAATTCATTTTCTTACACCTAAGTCTTACAGCTAATCATCCATCAGGTAAGTGTGTATATAAGGGAAGTTAAATTAAGTTATGTAGGTAAGTATATGTAATTAGGATTAGGGTAAGTCTGGTATGTAAGTCAGGTAAGTATACTAACAACAAAAGTTAATTTAAGTAAAGCAGGTAGGTAAGCCTAAGTCAGTTCCCTTTATTTATATAAGAAAAAATATTTTTTTCTTGTTTTAGGTTCTTTTATTATTAGTGTTCATATTTGTCATAAGTGGCCATTTCCTTGTTATTATTTATTATGTTATTATTTATTGTTTTATTATTATTTGTTATTATTTATTATTTTAGTTAAATTTTGTTAAATTTTTATTTTATGTTAATTTATTTTATTTATATATATATATTTTTTCTTTATTTATTTGAAATCTGTATTTGTTTCAATTTATTTAATTGAATTGAATTTTATTTCATTTTAGTGCATTTTTTTCAATACATGTGTATATTTAAGGTTATTTACTTTAGTTTAATTTCATTCAATTGGACTTGTTTAGTTTGAGTTTAGGTTCCTGTATCTGAAGGTTTCATATATATAATAACTCTTTTACTTTGATACGTTATAATAAGTATGTATGCATATACATATATATATCCGTATGTAGTATCTCCACTAATATATTTATCCATATACATATATATTTGCAATTCCGGTAAATTTTTTATTTTTTTTGTAATTTATTTCGTATCTTCTTCTTCTTCTTATTTGGCGCTGTAACCGCCTAAGCGATTTTGGCCGAGTCCAAAACAGCACGCCAGTGATTTCTCTTCTGTGCTAACTGACGCCAATTGTAAATGCCAAGTGAAGCCAAGTCCTTCTCCACCTGGTCTTTCCAACGCAAAGGAGGCCTTCCTCTTTCTCTGTTACCAGCATCGCGGCCCGCGTTGAATATTTTCAGAGCAGGAGCGTTTCTGTCCATCCGAACGACATGGCCAAGCCAGCGGAGCCGCTGAATTTTAATTCGCTGCACTATGTCTATATCGTTGTAAAGCTCATACAGCTCATCGTTAAATCGTCTGCGATATTCGCCATCACCAACGCGTAAAGGTCCGTAAATCTTTCGCAGAATCTTTCTCTCGAAAACTCCAAGAGCCGGTGAAAGCATCTGATTCATTGTCCATGCTTCCGCGCCATACACCAGCACAGGCATGATGAGTGACTTATAGAGTGTGATCTTTGTACGACGAGAGAGGACTTTACTTCTCAATTGCCTACTCAGCCCAAAGTAGCACTTGTTGGCAAGAGTGATTCTCCGTTGGATTTCAAGGCTGACATTATTATTGGTGTTAATGCTGGTTCCCAAATAAACGAAGTCGTCTACTTTTTCAAACTTGTAACTGTCAACAGTGACGTGGGTGCCAAGACGCGTATGCTCTGACTGTTTGTGTGCTGACAGGAGATACTTCGTTTTGTCCTCGTTCACCACCAGACCCATTCGCTTTGCTTCTCTATCCAATCCCGAGAAGGCAGAACAGACGTAGCCCTTGTTTTTACCGATAATATCGATGTCGTCGGCATACGCCAGCAATTGTACGCTCTTATAAAGTATTGTGCCTGAGCGGTTCAGTTCTGCGGCTCTTATTATCTTCTCCAACATAAGATTAAAGAAATCACACGAAAGGGAGTCCCCTTGTCTGAAACCTCGTTTGGTATCAAACGGCTCGGAGAGGTCCTTCCCTATTCTGACGGAGCTGGTGGTATTGCTCAACGTCATTTTACACAGCCGTATTAGTTTCGCGGGGATACCAAATTCAGACATCGCGGCATAAAGGCAACTTCTCTTCGTGCTGTCGAAAGCGGCTTTGAAATCGACAAATAGATGGTGTGTGTCGATCCTATTCTCGCGGGTCTTTTCCAAGATTTGGCGTATTGTGAATACCTGATCTATGGTGGATTTTCCAGGCCTAAAGCCACACTGATAAGGTCCAATCAGCTCGTTGACGGTGGGCTTCAGTCTTTCGCACAATACGCTCGATAAGACCTTGTAACCTATGCTTAGAAGGCTAATTCCGCGGTAGTTGGCGCGTATGGCGGGGTCGCCTTTCTTGTGGATTGGGCAGAGCACACTTAAATTCCAGTCGTCGGGCATGCGTTCATCTGACCATATTCTGCATACGAGCTGATGCATGCACCTCATCAGCTCCTCGCCGCCGTACTTGAATAGCTCGGCTGGCAGGCCGTCAGCTCCAGCAGCTTTGTTGTTTTTCAGCCGCGTAATCGCTATTCGTACCTCGTCATAGTCAGGCGGTGGGACAGCTACTCCATCATCATCGACTGGGGACTCGGGTTCGTCTTCCTCACTACTTTCAGCGCTGCTACCATTCAGTAGGTTATAAAAGTGTTCCCTCCACAATTTAAGTATATTCTGGACATCGGTCACTAGGTCGCCATTGTTGTTCTTACAGGAGTTCGCCCCGGTCTTGAAACCTTCCGTAAGTCGCCTAACCCTCTGGTAGAATTTTCGGGCGTTCTTCCTGTCGGCCAGCATCTCAAGCTCTTCGCACTCACGTATTTCGGCCTCTCTCTTCTTATTGCGGCAAATACGTCTCGCTTCCTTCTTCAGTTCCCTATAACGGTCCCACATGGCTCGCGTTGCGCCCGATCGCAGCGTGGCCCTGTAGGCGGCATCTTTTTTCTCTGCGGCTTCTTGACATTCCTCATCGTACCAGTTGTTCTTTCGGGCTCGCTGAAATCCAACTACTTCTTCGGCGGCGGTACTTAATGATCGGGAAATGTGGTTCCACTGCTCGCGTACGTCGGATTGTTGAAGAGTGCTCTCAGAGAGCAGGTGTGTGAGTCGAGTGGCGAATAAATTGGCCGTCTGTTGTGATTGCAGCTTTTCGACGTTAAGCTTTCCTTGCATTGTTGGGCGCACATTTTTTGCTGCACAGAGGCGGGTGCGTATCTTGGCTACAACAAGATAGTGGTCCGAGTCGATGTTTGGCCCTCGGAGTGTACGTACGTCCAAAACGCTTGAAGCATGCCTTCCGTCTATCACAACATGATCGATTTGGTTTCTCGTTTTTCGATCTGGAGACAGCCATGTAGCTTGGTGGATGTTCTTATGCTGGAACCTAGTACTACATATTACCATATTTCGGGCCCCGGCGAAGTCGATCAGCCTCAGTCCGTTATCGGACGTTTCGTCGTGGAGGCTGAATTTTCCGACAGTGGCGCCGAAGATCCCTTCCTTGCCCACCTTGGCATTAAAATCGCCAAGCACGATTTTGACATCGTGTCGGGGGCAGCGCTCATATGTACGTTCCAAGCGCTCATAGAAGAGATCCTTGGACGCCTCATCCTTCTCTTCCGTCGGGGCATGGGCGCAGATGAGCGAGATGTTGAAGAATCTAGCTTTGATGCGGATTGTGGCTAGACGTTCGTCCACCGGGGTGAACGCCAGTACTCGGCGACGGAGTCTCTCTCCTACCACGAATCCAACACCGAATTTGCGCTCCTTTACGTGGCAACTGTAGTAGACGTCGCAAGGCTTCACGCTTACTTTACCTTGCCCCGTCCATCGCATTTCTTGGATGGCGGTGATGTCAGCCTTTGTCTTCCCGAGGACATCAACCAGCCGGGCAGAGGCACCTTCCCCATTAAGGGTCCGGATATTCCAGGTGCATACCCTTCCAGGTGCGGTCCGGATATTCCAGGTGCGGTCCGGATATTCCAGGTGCATTTATTTCGTTTACATCAGTTTAATTTCTAAATCTAAAATAAAAATCCCTTCCTATATTTAGGGCTATATAACCTTTCGTTTTCTAGAGTAGTTGTGATACTTAGGCCTATATTAGCGTTGCTAACTTTATATAGGCATAAAACCATTTGTATGTGTATATAAAAAAACTTGGTTCCTCTTACTTACTAGTAACCTGCTTTTAGCTTCCTGTTAAATTAAAGTGTTTTTTTTCCAAGGTGCACTAAACAAGGTGCAATTGACGCTCAGTGCGGCTCTTTCTAAGGTACTATGCGGAAAAAATAATATAACCAAACAGTTTTATGTGACCTTATAGTATGGTTCCTAAGAGAGCAACGTCAAATTTAATGACGCGTATTCATAGTCCCGCAACTATGTCGAAACTAACAAAGTTGCAACTTAAGTTTAAGTACCAACTTAAAATTTACCTCTATTCATAGTCGCATTTCAGACTTCTACTAAAGGTGTTCTTACACGATATGTTTTTGCATCTGTAAATGTGACTTTTTCAATACATATATAATTGCGTATGTCTGTCAAATTCACAGTCTTTATTTAACTATTTAAAAATACGATCTTTGAAAACGAAATAAACTAAACTTAGATAATTCTATCTGTGTGTCAGATGAAAATTGGAACATTTCTATTTCGTATGTACGGACATATGCTTTGTACAGAAACAAATCTTATTTGCCTTTACACGATATGTTGGCATTTCCATATGTAAAAAGTGGCATGTACACATGCAAAAACATATCGTGTAAGAACACCTTAAGTAGTTTCGACTTAGTTTACGATATAACAAAAACAGCTGTTGTAGGTATGTGCAATGTGAAGATATATCGAAATTTCGTTTTTACGATATATCAAAAAACAACATTTTTATTGAATAATTTAAATTTTGATCATTTTAAACGACATTTTAATTTTCAATGTATACTTTTCCAAAAGAAAATGGTTATAATTTCGTTTTAAAAGTGTAAACTAAGCAGTAAAACCGCAGTGTTATGAAGTCGGTGTTTATCGATAGTACGCTGTGAAACAAACAAACACATATCTAAACGATGTGTATTAATTTATTTAAAAGAAAACAAGAGGTTCACGATGGCTGCGGAATTGCTGAAAGTAAGTTAAGTTAAATGACAAGTCATTAATAAATTTTAACAAGTTTTATGTTTTCATTACAGAGAGAGCGTGAGGCGAATTGTTCCCATGAGGAAAAAGACTGCTTCCTTGAGTTCATGGCGAAGCACATCAGTGTGATTGATGACAAACGAAACGATACCAAAATGATATCAAAGAAGAAGGATGTATGGCGCATTATAAAAAGTGATATGGAATCACTAGGATATGAGAGGGAAATAAGCAAACTGAGGCAGCAATGGATGCGCATGAAGGCGCATGCAAAAACCAATTTGGCAACTGTTCGTAAAGCCCGCACAGCTACAGGCAATCTTGTGGAAGTTCCTGAGCTCAGTCACAGCGACGAAGAAGTGGTTGATATGATCCAGATTGAGCTACAGGAAGACAGCATTTTAATTGATAGCAACACGGAATGTTTGGAGTTGGAGGAGCTGGACCAATCTCATCATGATGAATCAGAAGAGCAGCCGAAATCGACAGAAAAAAGACATCAACGGGGCGATAATTTAGTAAATGACCTTAGAAAATTACCAAAAAAAGCAGACAAACATGACGTTCTACAGGAAAGGCGAAAGCAAATCCAAATGGAAACAGAAATGCATAAGCTGAAAATAAAGCACGAAAAAGAGCTCCATTCATTACAAATGGAGCATATGATTGAACTCCATGAATTAAAAAAACAGCTACTTATGGAGCAAATAAAAAAAGACCAATCGAATCCAGAAAGTGTTCCTTTGATATACCTGAACTAAGATAGATATGGTTGTATTAGTATAACGATTTTTATTAGTGAATTTTAAAGTACCGAGACTGAACCAGCCTTAAGATTTTTATAAATGAAATTGAGTTACACTCACTCACATCTAGGTTCTGCAGCGCTTTTTTATCGATATGCACGGTACTGTTCATGGTCAATTTATTTCGTAATTTGTTTAAAGAGGTATAGTAAATTTTACAACAAAGGCTTTATAACTTCAAACTTTATAGACAAATTATGAAAATTTCAGGCTTTAAAGAGAATTTAAAAAAGAATCGAGAATGCAGTTTTATAGCTGATTAAATTTTACCATAATAATATGCAAATTAAAAGTGGCAAAGAATTAGCGTTGATTCCGATTAAAAAGTTTGATATTTTGTTGAAATTTTCAAAATTTGTCTACAAAGTTGGAAGTTTTGGGTTATAAATCCTTAGTTATAACATTTACTATACTTCTTTATACAAATTACGAAATAAATTGACCATGAATATCGATAAAAAAGCGCTGCAGAACTTAGATGTGGGTGAGTGTATGTACACCTGTGATCAGCTGATTAAGTCATCAACATTTTGATAAATTTTGGCTATTTTCCTTTTGTTTATTTAATGTTTAATAATTTCCCATAAAAGTCTAGCTCATTATATATATTATATGTGCAGTTTCAGCTAAATTTTCAACGTTTTATTCAGATTTTTTAGAATTTTTGCAAAAAGTTTGAAATGAGGATTTATATGGTGTTTGTTATATAATGAGCTTGGCTTTTATGGAAAAATAATAAACATTAAATAAACAAAAGGAAAATAGCCAAAATTGATTAAAATGTTGATGAATTAATCAGCTGATCACAAGTGTAAATATCTAGTTTTAAGTTTTTCTATGAATACATGTCAGAAAATGTGAAACGAAAAATGTGATAAATAAAATTACTTCAAAAGTGATTATTAATAAATGCAGTTTTGAATGCTCTCCCAGAGACGCTTTCAGGGATGTCCATAGAAAGATTTTGGGCGAGTGAAAGTGTTCCGTTTCGTGGTACTGCGTCAAGAACTGCAAAAAATAATTGATTTGATTAATTTAAAATCACGCAATCCGGATAATAAGAAATAATAGTAATATATAATGAAGCACAGCAACGGCAACAATTATATTTTTGGCCGTAGCTAAGTCTACCCGAATCCTTTCCAGCACTGACTGAAATTTCGATTTAAGTTGTCCGTTTAAGCATTCAATTTTAGTTCTTGTTGTTATGTGACTTCTATTATATCTGCTTAAAAAATTGATAAATTATAAGTTTTTAGAGCAAAGTTTTGTTAATTTCCTTTGTTCTTTTTCTGTCGTCGGATCCCGAACTGGTGTTAACATGATTGAAGAAGCAGGATAGCCTCCATCACCAAGCAGAACGCCTTTATGTACATGCTTTGTTGCTTCTAAATTTGTTTTTAATCGACACATATTCCAGATCCTAGCATCATGAACAGAACCACGGGTTCTTGCAACAATGTCCAAAATTTTACAATCGGCATCGCAAACAATCTGCAAGTAAGAAAGTGTAAGCTTTTGTATGCTAATACGGTTGCTTTTTGTATAGGTTCATACGCACTTGTACATTTAATGAATAGTAACCCTTTCTATTCGTGGGTACAATCAATTGCGCCGATTACGCACGGGAATCGACCTACATTAAAAAAATTCTTTTTTACAACATTGATTTCGCCGGCCTCGTTCGGAAATTTGACGAAATCTGGTAGGAACAAAGCGATTCTTTTAGTTATGTCTTTAATAATTCGACTTATTGTTGGTTGTGACAAGCCATGAAGATCACCTGAAACAAATATTGCGCCATGAATTAGGAACAACATATTTGCATAAGTACTTGCAAAAATCTTAATGTACAAAGTACTTGCAGTGGTAAAGAAACAGGAAGGCCTTTGTTGCTATTATCCGAATTCGTTTCCAGCATGTCAATTATAAATTCCGATGTAGCTTTATCGAACCTGTACCGCGCATAAATTCCTCATTATCCAATTCAAATGGATCACATCGCACTTTATAACTTTTTACTTTTCTAATCAATTCTAGATCTTCCAAAATTGCAAAATCGCGTTCAATCCGCTCCATGTTTACTTTATTTTGTTGTTTCTACCATCAGCTCGTAAAATATTTTATACTAGTTACGACTTAGTTGCAGCTGCAGCCGAAACTAAATTTTAAGTTGGTACTTAGCCAGAAAGTCGAAACTAAGGCGACTATGAATAGCTTTAGTTGTGACTTAAAATAGTTTCGACTTAGTTGAATACTAATATATGACTATGAATATGCGCCAATCACACTTTGTTGTATGCATTTTAGGCATTTTTATAGTAACAAGTTTCTTTTTTTTGTTTCTCTTTTTTTTTACATATACATATTTTCTCTTTTTATAAATTTTTATACCTTTTTTTGTTTTTTTCGGAAGTTTTAATCTTCGATAAAATTTCTTTTGCTTGCTTTTGCGGACTCACCCAACGTTGCAGCAGGCTTGTGTTTGGCACTGCTGTTGTTGTAGTCGCTTCTGGTGTTGTTGGTTGTTATTGTAGCCGGAGGTTACTTGCTGTAGCCGGGTGTTATGGCGGCGTTGCTACACCCCGCCGCTGTGACCGCTGCTGTGGCGGTTATTGTGGACTTCGCGCGTTGTTGGTTTCGCGCTGTGTTGCCGGCGCGGTCGCAATAGCCGCCGATGTAGCGCGTTGTTATCGTAGCACTCCGTGGTACCCGCTGCAGAGGCGGTTGTTGTTGCTGGGCGCGTAGTCGAACCCGCTGCTGTAGCGGTTGTTGCGGTCTTCGCGCGTTGTTGCCTTCGCGCGTGGTTGCTGGCGCGGTCACAATAGCCGCCGATGTAGCGCGTTGTTATTGTATCGCTCCGTGGTACCCGCTGCTGTGGCGGTTGTTGTTGCTGGGCGCGTTGTCGAACCCGCTGCTGTGGCGGTTGTTGCGCTGAGCGCGTTGTCGAACCCGCTGCTGTAGCGGTCTTCGCGCGTGGTTGCTGGCGCGGTTGCAATAGCCGCCGACGTAGCGCGTTGTTGCTGTCGCGCTCCATGGTACCCGCTGCTGAGGCGGTTGTGGTTACGGTGTGTGGAGTGAGACTGCGACTAGAGGGATGAGAGGGTTATCAAAAAAACCATTGGTCTGCATTCATAATCTGAAACAGGAATGCGCACCTTTTACCTTGTTTATTCACCCTAGCGCTCCATTTTACATCGGTTACCCTACCCATACCCATCCAAGAACCACAATTACCAAAAAAAAGAAACAACCGATTTGACTCAATACATAGTTATTTCAAGCGGTTATGCCTATGTTTTTATAGCGCGCTCGCTGAAACCATATTCAAAAGTAATGCTGGAATTACACTACGCCCTAAATGCCAAAAATGACAAAGTCGAGCCTTACAATTAATCGTGCCATTACATTAACAACAAAAAAATAATCATTCAGTTCATTTCCACATGGCATTTTTTTTTTCTTTTTGATTTCGGTCAACCGAAGGAAGCGTACTATAATTTAAATTTGTTATAATAAAAATTCGAATTTACACCGGGCTATATAAAGGAAGCCAGCCTATCTTCACTTCGCATCAAATGAATAATGTGTTTATACGGGTTTTCCAATAGATGCGAGAAACAGAAAAACCCAATTTGAAAAAAATTCGAGTCAATACACTTTCGGAATCTCCGGGAGCATGAAACTTAGTTCATGCCTCGTTTTGGATCACAGTGCACTGGGTTAAGGTGCTTTATATGTTGACATAAACAAGGTAAGTGACACATTCCTGTCCCCGTTTTGGCGTTTATCGTGGTTGTACGCCCACTTAGCACGGTTCAGATTCTTTTAACTCGCGTTTCAGTGCGGAATACGCACTGACACGTGCCCAGCGTTCGCCGTACCAAAGGGAAACTACTTATGGTAACACAAATTAATATACTGTATCACCAGAAAACTGAAAAAAACTTACCTGACTGTAGCAGTGGTAGTAGCTATTGGGTGCGCACCAAGCGCGCTATTTCTCAGGCCAGTAGGGCAGTGGTGGTTGTGGCCCTACTTGCTTTGCCTGTGTCGCTGTTGCTTTGGCGTTCTGTATTTTCTTACACGCTGTGGTTGGTTTGGTGGTTGCTTTTCCTTTTGCGTGCGTTCCTTCTAGATGTTGCTTATCTTTTAGGACACCTGCTTCCCATCTAACGCTTGACAAACTAACGCGGTTGCACTCGCTCGCGACGACTGCACTCTCGGAATTTTCTGCTCTTTGCGATGCAGAAAACAACTTCTCGCGTTTATCAGAGTTTTTTTTTTTACTATTTTCACGCAAATAAATGGAGTAAATGAACACAACTAAACATGATTTATAAATTTTTTGTACATTTGTGTTGCACTAATTGAATATTTCCGCGAAATTGTATATTTAATCACACGCGGCACTTCTCACTTTTCCTTTTCTTTGAAACTGATGTGCAAATGGTCGCTATGGGGTTGCCATCGGGTTTTTATACCCTTGCACTGCGGAAATATTCCATTTGGAAGAATAACGGGCACTGCGTCTTTTGGACTAGTTCCGTTACCCTTCCAACTGGAATTTGTCGCAGTGCAAGGAGGAATGTCAAAAAATAATGTTCGCGTGGTCCGGGGTTACCATGACCCAGTTACACTGAACCGAACCGGTTGGTAAGCAGGCCTTCACCAGCTTTGCCTCCTCACTGGCCGTCTTCACAGGATAAAACTTATTGTTTTTCAGCCATCTATTGGGTTGCTAGATACAAGTTATACCAGGGCGGGCTTTTATATCTTGACATCCGCTTTTTGGAAGTATTTTTACCGGGCTTAACCGCAAAAAAGGTCTCTGAAAATGGATAGAATACAAATTTGACATTTTCGTGGGGAATACGAACGTCAAAATTGTATCTAGCTCATGGAGCTAGGTAAAACTTGACAGCTTCTAAGTGTAATCAGCCTTATCATGAGTTTCATTTTCCGCGAACCGGTTCACTTTTCACTTTTGGTTTCCATGTAATTACTATGGGCGGAGGAACAATTATCAGGCGAAACTCAGGATAAGGCAGAATATTGTCGGCGGTAATAAGGAGTGAAAATCAAAATGGAATCTGATAAAACAAAAACAACGTACGTTACTTGCAAGTTATAAAATACATGTAAATTTAACAATTGAAGCAACACACAAAAATAGGGCTTCGCACGAGCGTGTGTTTGGTTTGTTGCATATACCGTC